GGAGGAGGAGGAGGAGGAGGAGGAGGAGGAGGAAGAAGAAGAAGGGAGGAGGAAAAGGAGTAAAGGAGGAGGAAGAAGAAAGGAGGTGGAGGACTTCGGTGCTCTCCAAGTCGGATGGTTTTCTTGCAGACGTTTCATTACTGTACTGGGTGACATCATCAGGGCTAGAAGGGAGAGGGGTTTGCAGAGAGGAAGAGGAGGAAGCCATTCTCCCCATCCTCTAGCACAGGGGTGCCCAACCCCTGGACCACACACCTCAGTATCGGGCCGTGGCCTATTTGCAACTGGGCTGTGGGAACAGCCGGCCAGCACCTGCATGTGCGCATGGCAGCTCAACTTGTGCCAGAGGCAGGCTGCCACTGCGTGCTCCTGTATGTGCAGCTCAACCTGTGGAAGTTGAGCTGTGCGCACATGCACATGTACGCCGGCCTGATTCTCGTGCACGTTTAGCTGCCCGTGCGCACACACAAGCCTCTCGCGGCCCATTCCTCTTCCCGCCCTGCGCCGCCACCAAGCAGCAAACGTTGGGCAATGCAGCCATCGGCTCGGAGGGTGCCCAGCCGCCGCGTGTTCTTCGATGGCCCGGTTTCCTTTGACCGCTGCCTCTTCGCCACCTAACCCAGGGAACGCCTCCTCGCACGGGACGCGGCCAAAATAAGTGAGAGGCCGTTTTGTGCTGTTTGCCCTCCAGTGAGATGCCTCGAGTTGTGCGCTCCAGGACTGGCTTGTTGGTCCCCTCTGCTGCCCGAGGGGGGCGCAGGAGAATCTTCTCCAGCACCGCAGCTCAAAAGGGGCCGATTTCCTTCCTGTCTCGCTTAAGGTCCGGCTTTTGCAACCATCCGTAGATACGGGGCGACACGATGGAGTGGACTAGCCTACCCTGAGCGGCCAGGCTGACCTCCTCGCTTCTCCAGTTGTGCAGCTCCGTGGCTGCATCTCCAGCTGAACCCGCCCGGGTCCCTCTCCGCACCTCCATGCTCCTCTCCTGGGTGGCAGCCCCCCCTCCCTCCCCAGCCAGCCAGCACTGAAGACTCTTGAGAAGGACACACACACACACACACACACACACACCCCGTGACAGGATGTAGGCAGGCAGGCTCTGCCCTGGGCTCTCCAAGGCGCCTGGGCTGCTGAGCCTTAGCAGGGCAAATTCGTTGACCGTGAACTTCTCATCCCATCCTATCCTATCCTGTCCCTTCCCTTCCCTGTCTTCCCTTTCCTTTCCTTTTTCCTTTTCCTTTCCTCTTCTTTTCCTCTTCCTCCCTCCCTCCCTTTTTCTTCCCCTCCCTTCCCTTCCTTTTATTTCCTCTTTCTTTCCTTCCCTTCCTACCTTCCCTTCCCTGTCTTCCCTTTCTTTTCCTTTTACTTTCCTCTTCTTCCCTCCCTCCCCTTTTCTTCCCCTCCCCTCCCTTCCCTCCCTTTCATTTCCTCTTTCCTTCCCTTCCCTTCCCTCTCCTCTTTCCTTTCCTTTCCCTCTCCCTTCCTTCTTCCTTCTTTCCTCTTTCCTCTCCTTATCTTCCCTTCCCTTCATTTCATTCCCTTCTCTGTCCTTTTCTTTTCCTCTCCCTCCCTCCCTCCCCCTTTCCTTTCCTTTCCTTCTGTTCCCTTCCCTTCCCCTCCCCCTCTCCTTTCCTTTTCTATCATCTCCTTATATTCTATTTTTAATAACCTGGTGCTTTGATCTACTTCAGGTGACACACCCTCTCATTCTCAGCTGGCCCAATTAAATCTGGGCGCATCGGATTGGAACAGATGCGCCTCGTCTGAGGCCCCGAAGAAGTTCACTGCTGAGGGATGTTAATTGCTTTAGCCAACAGGCCCAGACCACAAACTCTTTTCCTGCAAGAGAAAAAGGATTAAAACCACAGAGGTGACTTTGCCTCCCCCACCCCGACTGTTTCCTGTGCAATGGTACATGGCTGCTCCACTGCTTCGAAACTCATCAAATTCCCTACGCAATGCACTCTGAAGTGAACATTTTGTCTCAGTACTCATAGCTTGCTTGGTACCCAACACGCAATCTAGAACCTGTCAGTAGATTATTTCATGTGGGAAAAATTCCTAGTACTCACTGTGCCTTCCAGAACCAATTAACAAATGAACATCAAAGGTACCTGTCTTGGGAATATATTTTTGCAAAGGAAGCATGCTTCATGTTCAAACAACAGAGAATTATGTTTAATTACATATGAGATCCCCAAATGTTTAAGTACCGTGTTTTCAGTCCAGTAATGTGGCTGACACCTCGGCAGAATGAAGTTTTGGGCTGTCTAACTCAGTCTTCAAGTTACAGAAGACAATGTTGAAAAAGCACTACGCAATCTAAAACCATCCCTATCTATTGGACCGGACGGAATATGTGCCTACTTCTTAAAAAAGCTATCCACTGCCATAGCCGAACCTCTAAGCATAATCTTTGAAAAATCTTTCAGGACCAGCTCCTTGCCAAAACTATGGTCACAAGCCACGGTCATCCCCATCTTCAAAAAGGGAGACCTCAGCCTAGTTGAAAATTACAGACCAATCTTCTTATGCTGCGTCACCTGTAAAGTCATGGAATCCATTATTAACCAATCCATTATCCTCCACTTAGAGACAAACAACCTACTCTCTAGTAAACAATTTGGTTTCAGGAAAAAACTATCCTGTAATCTGCAACTCTTACATTGCAAAAACATATGGACTACACAACTCGATCAGGGCAAAGCAATAGACACAATCTACATAGACTTCTGTAAAACCTTTGATTCAGTGGTACATGACAAACTACTAAAATTAAAATCCTATGGTATCTCTGGACACCTGCATAACTGGATAGAAGCATTCCTGTCAAACAGACAACCAAATGGTCAAAATTGGGAGTGTCCTATCAAATTCTGTACCTGTCAATAGTGGTGTCCCCCAAGGCAGTGTTCTAGGACCAACTCTCTTCATACTCTACATAAATGACTTCTGTGATCATAATAAGAGCAACTGTGTTCTCTTCGCTGATGATGTAAAGCTATTCAACACCACAGACAATACTACTACCCTCCAAAAAGACCTTGACTATGTATCAGAATGGTCAAACAAATGGCAACTTCAAATCTCAAGAAATAAATGCTCTGTCCTACATATTGGCAAAAAAAATCAGGAAATAAAACCCCTGCAGGGTTGCTAGGAGACGGGGCTGGCCTGGGGCCCAGGAGGTCCTAACTTCCTCCCAAGTGGGGGCCGGTGAGGGCACAGCCCAAGGGGCCACCCTCTCTTAGGCACCGCCGGCATGGTTGGGACACCAGTGTAGAATCACAGACTTAGCTGTCAACTCTGGAAGAGGCCCAGGGAAGAAGCTGGCAGTCTTTGGGACGACGCAAGTTTCCATTATGTGAAACTGTATTCTTATATCTTTGTGCGTTTTCTTAGTTGACACACTCTCAGTTGTTTCTTTGCAGACATCTCATCACTCATCACCCAACTAGAGAACATCCTCCGTGTTAGAAGGGAGAGAGATTTGCAGAGGGGAGGAGGAGGAAGAGGAGGAGGAGATGGTTGAAGGAGAGGAGGAAGGGGATGAGATTGAAGGAGATGAGGAGGAGGAGGAGGAGGAAGGGGGAGGAAGGAGAAAGAGGAGAAAAAAGAGG